GTGTTGCGGGAGTCGTGAGTGGCTCGTCGTTAATGGGTCATCGCGGTACCATGGGGGAGAGAGGGTGGGGACCAACTACAACAATGACTTCCGCCTAGCATAGCCGCCTTCTCAACTATGCCTCATATTCGCTACGGCACAGCCAAGAAGTATGAACATCCCTCAGAACTGTCTTTCGAGCTTGTCCTTAACCTTCTCAACATCCACGAACCTCCGCAGTTTCATTCATCGACTGTTCCTTTAACTACTACTGACATCGTCAGCGCCTTCATTCGGTCGTCTTCTCTTCCCCGCAAGCACTCGAGCCAGCGCATACACAATCGCACTATTGTTTCAAGCTGGAGAATACCAAGCCATGGGCTCTTGTCTATCAAAATGAAATCGCGAAGTCGAACGCGTGAAAGACGAAGTACATCATATACCGGCAGTATATGCTGCCCGAAGAAACGGTGAAAGAGCCCGTGGGTATTTCGACGGTGCTGCTGCATACCCAGGCCAAAACAGATCGTATGGACGCTACAACGGAAGACATGATAGGACCACCCCGTTTTATGACGGAGGTGATATGCACGGCAGGGAATACAGTGGGTTCCGTCGAGCAGACAGCGGGTTTAGTAACGGTGACGGTGGTGTTGTAGGGATGTCTAGTGAAGGAGGTGGAAGTGGAAGAGGTGACTAGAGATGGTTGGCTGCACACAAGCTAGAGACTCTAAAAAGAGAGAACGTGGAATGCGCTCAGTCAGGGCTCTGAGTACTGGCAGAGTTGTCTTTATGCCGTTATTCAAAAGCTCAAGGTCACCAGGAAACATGCTCACATTGTGTGCTTCACTGCGCTCTCTTCCATTGTTCACGTATAAGACCTCAATAGAACTGCTCGTATATCCCTTGCTCAAAAGTTTCGCTCATCATACATAATCATACAGCTTTCCTGACTTCCAAAGTCAAAAAGTACCTCCGAGAGAAACACATCGTCTCTCTTATACCTACCAACTCAAAGCTCCACATATCTCCCTCAAACTCTCACCATGGGCTGTTCATCCTCCAAACCAATCCCCAAACCCGTCTCCAACCCTCCTACCGCAAACCCACCAGTCCCTTCCCCCACGCCCACCAAGCCAGAAGCAAAGACTCAGCCTGAGCAATCAGCAACGCGAAATACTCCCACTCCTCCATTCATTACAGCGCCCTCGACCCCTGTTCCGATGAAAGGACCTTTGGCAAGTAAATATGGGTATTACGATACGGGGTTCACGTGGATCAGCACGCGGGATAAGATGATGGAGTGATGGGTGTGCCGGAGTACGGGGGTAATGATATGTGAAACTGAATACAATGAGTGCTATGTGAACTATACGTAGGTACGATGAGCTGATTGTCTTTCGTGATGTGATGAGCCCTAGAACGTGAATCATTAATTCGCATACCAGTTTCTCAAAGCATCGTTTCGCTCATTGGAGATGTAAAGCGAGTCTCTTCACTACCCACAGTGAATTCACCCCTTATCCCTTCTCTTCTAGTTCGCGGAAGCCTACTTCGCACACACCATCCAAGTTCCTACTACCAACCACCATCATCATCAGCCACTCCATCATCAACCATGGGTTGCACATCTTCCAAATCCACAGAAGAACCGCTCCCCGCCCCTCAGCCGATCAAAACGAACACCACGACTCACGTCACTACACCTACCGCCGAAGGTCCTAGTACCATCTCCGACATCCCACACCCACAGTCACAGCTGCCTCGAGCGACCATACGCCAAGTCACGCCGGACGGCCCTGTCCTAAGTAACGCCATGATACACGATACGCAGGCTGGATCGAATAACATACCGTACTACGAGAACAAGTTGTGGCGGAGGGGATAGATAGGTAGAGGGAGAAAATTTGCATTCAAGTTGAGCGTCATTCATATTCGAGAAGAGCCATGGAGAATACTAAAACAAGAAAGAAAAGCTAGAGTAGAGAATCATACCAGCGTAACAAACCAAGCCTCGACAAAGAAAGCCCCCTAAACATATCTCATCCAAGCCCAATCATACAGAAGGAAAACCTCCCAACCCATAAACGCCGCGCAATGCAACACACACCCATCCGTCCCAACCACACCCAAACCTAATTATACCTCCTACTCTTACTAGCCCACTCCTCCTCCCTCCTCGCCTTCTCCGCCTCCAACTTCTTCAACTCCCTCGCCACACCCCCACTAGCCCTCCACCAAACATCCGTACCAGTCCTTATCAGCCTCTCCGCCGCACTAACCGGCCCATCAACCGCCGGCCTAACATCAAGATAAAACACGGGTTGTTCGTCTGCCTCACCCTCGCCCGACGCTTCTGATGTCTCCGGCGCACCCTCATAGTAATCAATAACATAGCGAATCTCTTTACACCCCTTCTCATTACAGCGCTCGACAAACCAATCATGGCGATCAAACGGCGGCGCCGTACCGAATTTCTCTGGCATAACATAGCCCAGCCATTGCATAATCGTTGCTTTGGGCGTCGGTTCCGTCGGTCTCCCTGTGAACCTGAGTAGTTTCGGGGGCTGCACATCCCTATGATCCCACGTCGTCGTATCAAACGGATCCTCATGCGTGCCCAACTTAAAATTCGCAACTTCCTCGCCTTGCTTGCATATCGCGTAGCCCTCCTTCAGCCCTCTCGAGAACCTGCGTTCCCAGCCCATGATCTCCGCCCACGCGCCCTCGTTGAGGAAATTGTGCACGCCGACCATGCTTTCTACGGCGGTGATGTCGGTGTCGGTGTAGCCTTTCCGCAGCATGGCGTTGTACATTTGCTGCGGGGAGGGGTACTCCCAGAGCGTGCCGTCGCCTTTGGGGATCGTGGAGGTTTCGCGGTCGAGGGGGAGGTTGACGGATTGCGTGGAGGCGCGCTCGTTGGAGAGTTCGGAGAACATGTTGTTGAGGGGGTTGAGGCGCGAAAGGAGGCCTTGCTTTGGGAGTGGGGAGGAGGCGCTGGTGGAGGCATTCTCAGGTGGGACGTAGGGGCAGGCGCCGGCGGGAATCTTCTTTTCGGCGACGACGGGCGGGACGGGTTTCTTGTGCATCGGGCATTCTGGCTGGGGGGTTGTTAGTGGTGTGTGTGTGTCTGGGGAATGGAAGGGCGTACTGGAGGTTCCATGCTGCTCATGCTGCCCCGAGGCATGGCGTGCGGCGCAACACGCGCAGCAGGTGCGGCGGGTGCGGTGTCTGCCCAAAACCAACCCATGGTGAGCATTCGTATAGAAAGAGTAGTACGGTGGAAAGAAGAGGCAAGCCAGGGTATATAGGGCTGAAGAAGATGTGACGGGTGGCGGAGATTATCGGGAAGAACAATTTCGTGCAGGGTCCTCGTCGTCATCGCTCTAAGCGCGTTAGGCGTACTCCGATTGGCTCAACATGGCAATGTAGTGAAAGTCGATTTGGAAGCTATATTTGGATTTCTTTTTGGGTATGTTCTGGATATCGTACGCATATGCGCAAACGTTCTACATATCTTGGTCAAGACGCCTTGAAATGTGCTCGACCATATTCTTATGATCCTGCCGCCTTCGCCAACTGACCAGTGCCCCGCGAGCTGAATATAGCCATGATACCAAAACTGCCATAGAACAGAACCATGGGGTATGCTACCAGTCCTCGCATGGAAGTCATGCGGCCTGTCAATGTTAGTCTGTAGGAAAAACCTCGTTAGAAGGCTCGACTTACCGACAACAGTAAACATGGAACTGGAGCTGTAGGAACACCATGTGATGGCCAGGCTCGTCAGAAGATATCCAAATAGCCCGTCAAGCGGTACAATGATTCCAAACATCGATACCAGAACGAGAGGGAGCAGACAGTATCCGAGCACCGATGCCGATCGTGGGAACGTTAACGAGGAGCCGAGATGTGAGCCATGCGGGTGGCCATGGTCTCCTGGTGTCGCTTCGACGACAGGCGGGGACATGAGGGAGAGAATCTGGTGGAGGAGGATCGTGCCAACGAATGCCAGGCCTACTTTTGTTGGTTACTGTTCTTCTCCTATCAGTTGTTTGGCTTACCGTAGATGTAACCGAAATGAAGCTTTCCAGACAACTGCCCCACGTTAGCTCTCATCTTTTTCTTGATGTCGTGTCTCATACCAATAACGACGTCCCAAAGATCAAGAAGAACAGTATCGGCCCTGCCACATCGCTGTCGTCCATGATATGCTGATCGATCCGACCGAACGGGTTCAGCACAGCCAACGTCTTCATCTGTATATGCCTAAAGTTCACTCCCAACTCTTCCAGTAGCGGCGGCTCTCCATCGTATCCTTCCGTGCCAAAAGCCGCCAGCCACCCTGTCCGCAGCCCCGACACGCCCATACCCATCTGCCCGCTCACACCTGGTGCAGCGAACCCCGCGCCATACTGTGCGGGGTACGCTTGACTCGCCGGTGCGCCGTAGTTTGCCTGAAACGGTGTGGAATGGCCAGACACCGGCTGGTTCGAAAATGACGACGGGTAGAATTGGAGGTTTTGCGCATTCCCAGCGCCGTATTGCGGGTTCTGTCCGTAGCCGTATTGCGCCATTGTTTGGTATGCGAGTGTGTGCGGTTTAGCGACGAAGAAGAAGTGTCGGAATGCAGCGATCTGGCGTTGGGTAGGTCGTGCAGCTGGTGCCTGGCGGAGGTGGAGCGGACGTGTCCTGGGGAGATGTGGTACGTGGAGCGAGAGACGACGTCACTGGGGATTTTTGCGCGGAAAGGACAGATTGCGTGAAACGGGGGTGTTGAGTTTGGAAAGGGAGGGCTCGCGCGCTGAAGTGGGAAGAGGACAATTGTTTGTTTGCAATGTTGGGGCTCAATGTGGCAGCCACATGTCATCGTGTGCATCGGCCCTGGCCAGCCGTCCACAGGCCGATGGGGGCTTGGCAGCGACGCGAGGATGAGAAGCAAAGCTAACGCTGTGACTATCTGACAACCACGTCTAAGCTATAGTTCTACGAAGTTTATGAATGTTTGCTCCTTGCGTTTCTCATCGTCGAACGGGGACTTCCACAATAGAGGGGCCTATGGGAGGTGCGGTCTTCTCGCGATTATAACGCAACGGTTTTAATCCCTCCTGCATCACCCAGTCCAAACCAATAACCGAACCTTCCTCATCGCCCACAAACGACAAGAGGAATTGCTTGTATACCGAGTAATCCACTAGACATCTTGTCTCCATCTCGTCCCTCGATCCAGGCAGAAAGCTAAACGTGTGGGACTGGTAGTGTTCCAGAAGATGGCACTGCGAATCCATGGTATTCCGCTTCATCTCCAATTGATCTTCGCTCACCTTGTACACATCAATTCGCCCCTTTATGTCTTCGTTCTGGTACGTCCCCTCAAGGCTTTCGAGACGGGGACGTGGCGTATTTAACATGCGGTTCTTCTGCAAATCGTCTTTCATCTTGGTATATCGGTTCAGACTACTGGTAGATAGCTTCTCCGCCCTGATTCCGAAATCCACTTTCGGCGTCATATCGAAGAGTGATTGGACGAACATTTGAGCAACAAGATCAGAGCAGTCTCCAGCACTCTGCGCGTTGGTCAGGACGACCACAGCGGATTTGGTCTCCGGAAACAGATAGATGGAGTTGAGATATCCGGTCACCTGGCCTCCATGATATAGTGTTAGCCGTGGCTGCGAGTCTCGCCCGATGATATCGTCTCTCTGTGGGCCGTTGGTAGATAACCACCCAAGTTGTGTCGAGGGAATCATGTGTCTTGCCCATCCAAATGCGTACGAGCTCTCGTTGATGGTATCGTCCGTAACGGGTATCTTGCGAGACGTGATTTGGCTGATTTGTCTTAGCGGGTTTGTCGATATGCTTTGCGCGTCAGTATGGTCGTCGTGGTGTACTGCTTCGCATTGTTCCGTGTTGAGACTCAATCCTTGAATGGCCTCAATGGTGCCCTTCTCCGTCTCCTCTTCTTCCAACCGTTCCATTACTGCTTGCGACCAGATGAGCATTTCCGGAACGTTCGACCAAATCGCCATTGCAGCTCCACAAATGGTCTTGTCTGAAACTTGAGGCATTCGTAAACGTACTGGCCGCCTGTCGTGCAAGACCGTATGCCCCTCAGCCAGATTTCCACCCTCGACTTTCCATCGAGAACACGTCGATCTACTCATTCCGAGAGGCTCAAAGATTCTCTTCTTGACGAACCCTCCCCAGCCATCCACGGCATCCTCGCCACCTACCGCTTCAATCACCTTACCCACCAGAGCGTAAGGCCAGTTGGAGTAATGGAATCCGGTGCGAAAGGTGTCGTGAACTGGCATGTTGGCAGTGACATGTAATAAATCTCCTGGAAGAAGCAGTTCTGCGCCTGCTGCGCCATACCACGCGATGTCGAGCTGTGGAAATCCGCTGGAATGAAAGAGGGCTTCTGATAGACTCATACGCTCGCCTATGACAGGATCTTTGTTCTGGGTAAAGGGTATGTATGCGGATAGCGGTTCGGTCCAGCTCAGTTTGCCTTCGTCCACGAGCATACCACAGGACGCCGCGATGAAGGCCTTGGTGAGTGATCCGATCATGTAGAGAGTTGAATTGTTGACCGGGACATAGTTTGCGTTCCCACCTGCGAATCCTTGGCTGTGCTGGAGGATGATCTTGCCTTCGTGGAGGATGCCGATGGAGACAGAAGGACACCCGGTGATGTCCATCAACTTCTGTATTTGAGGCAAAAAGGCCGTACTCTATCGCAGCATCAGTATAAGTTTCATCATACTATCGGTGTCTACAGAGTGACTATACCTTTGCTCCGCTGCGGTAGGAGCCATGGCTTATCAGAGGATCGATAGTGATAGTGATAGAGCGACTCCGGTTTTGCGAAACACTGGATGAAAAATCGGCCGAACAATAAACGCAGGTGAAGGTAAGGAAGTCGAGGACGACAACTATGGACGTGTTGACGTGCCGCGGATAGGCGACAACACAAACAGGCAGGAGCGTGTTGGCCGAAACGGGCTAGACCGACCACGCCCATATCCTGCATGATGCACAGGTGAAAGAAGGAACGAGCACACAAATGCGAATTCGATGTTGCAGACCTAGCGTCAACAATTGTGTTCATAGATTTGAGGGGGGTATCTAGTCCTACTGCTAAGAGGGGAGGGAAGTCATCAATCATAAGTCATAAACCCAGCAAAAGCTTTGCTCTCAAGCGGTGCGTTTGCTGCTAGCCGAGGCGGTATCCAAGCTCTACTCAATCGACGAAAGCCAAGTTCAATACATTTCCCTGGTCCTTCGTGAAGTGTAGTTGCACCAGTCGCACTGCAGACAAATTAATAAAAGTTTTGACGTCTCATCGAGCTGTACTAACCAAGGTGTCAGAGGACGCGTCGTTGTCTTCACGGCAGTACTCGTTGTTGCATTTCCTGCATGTGCGGATAAAAAGCTCCTTACAGCTAATGCACGTATGGCCACAGCCAAAGCAGTCACGCCTCACGCCGATAACCTGTGTTTCTTGACGTCAGCCTATTTCTTGATCAAAGAGTGAGCACATACCTTGGCGCGCAAGTGCCAGTATCCAGGTGCAATTATCCAATATAGCCAGGCTCCGGGTTCCGGAATCCAACTATATCGTAACGGCCTCAAGGTAGCATCGCTGCTCGCGCGCCAAGGTAGGTCCTTCATCCCCACATCCCGTCGCTACCGGCTCCGGCCATCATTTCCTCACGGAGGCAGTGTTCCACGCAGAGGCCCATATGTACCTTGATGGTTTGCTTGGGGAGCAGTTGACTGGTCCCGTCGGGTTTGAAACTCTCGGTGAGCTCCGTCTGCTGTAGTTCCGTACGTTGGGCGGTGACCGATCCAGTGTAGCAGTCCTCGTCCCACCACTTGTGGCATCTCTCGCACCAGCGTCCTTTCAGGCAATCCTCGCATCGCACTATGAGAGGTGGAGGGGCGGATCCGTCGAGAGTGTGTGGTATTTGCGCGGCGCGTACGGAGGACCCATGAAGTGGTACCGGACTGAGTAGCGGGTGATGGGACGGACTGGAGTCGCCAAATACTGCCGGGCCTTCTGGAGAGGAGTGGCATGTTTCGCAGCCGGACGGACCTAGCGCTACAGTGGCTACTGTAGGCCGCAGGAAAGAGGACGGGTGGGGTGCTCCATCTGCGGTCGCATCTCTGACGTACGCCTTGCCTGGGTCGTGGCGCGGTCCTCTACACAGAACGGCGTCGAAAGCGATGATGCCTTCGCACGCCTGAAGTATCTCTGCCCATTCCGGCGACGGCCGCTTAGGTATGATCTTGCCAGAAGACTGGTACCACTTGTCCTCGGTCCGCGCTAGTACAGCTTCCAAGGCCTGCTGCGACTTCTCGTTCCATTGCGCACCGATCTGCGCCCCTTGTGAAGTCGTCACGCCCTTGGGGATATGCGGGGAAGGCTTCTTCGTGACGGGCGACGCAGGGCGCGGTGTTCGATCGCGGGTGCCAAAGATGTAGATGCCTTTGACTCGAGGGGTGCCCGCAGGCCTGGACGGTCGGACCGCATATCGCAGGTATTGCTGAAGCTTCCTCTCGTTCAGGTGTTTGGCTTCGCGGATCGAGAGTATGCGGACGTTGAATCGCTCCTCAGTAAGCAGTTCCTTGACTAATTCGGCTGTTACGCTGAGCCCGTCTAGTACGAGTGTGTGGACATTGCGCAAGACGTGCAGCTTCTCAAGTCTGTTAAAGATGTGACGTAGAGGGCCGCTGTAGAAGTCGTCTTCGGTGAGGGCTTCGTCCATGCGCTCAGCGCGGAAACTGGTACCACCGATATCAAGAGGTCCATCGAAGGGTACAATAGCAGACTTCACCGGAGAGAGATCCAAGTAGCGAAAGGCCTCTGGCGACTGCAAGACAACATGGTGGAGGGATTTGCAAGTTCGCGACAGGTTACGGAGAGCAGATATTGGCAGGTACGGGGCAGTTTGGCGCAGGATCAAGGTGTTGGAAAGCAGGTCCGCCAGGGATGTAGGAAGGTCGTCACTGAACGTAGAAGGGCCCATGGTGAGGGCTCGGGGAATGCAACCAGAGAAGTTTGGCCAGAGGTTAGATGGGTACTCACCGAATCTTTATTACACAGCGCGAGGGCAGGGCGGAGTAGCACGTGCCACTGATCTGACACTGCAGGTGTGTGTTGGATGAGCAAAAGGAAAGACTAATCGAGGTTGAGACGCTGCAGGAGATGGGGTTGTGGGTGCGTGGGATACCGCCGATGCTTCGTTCCTTGCGGCGATCGCAAGCGCAAGACCCTGCCAAGAGGTGTGTTAGCAGTACGCGCAAAGCTTCCTGCATAGGACCTGCACGATCAGGCCGCGATGAAGCATAGATTGGAACACGTCTTGCAGCCAAGCCCGCGCTGCAAGTCTTGGTGGTCGAGTGGAAACAGGCTAAAACAGTCGCTGCGAGATGTCAGGTAGGCGACGCGACGCGCAAAGCCGCCGGGGGATGTTCGCCCCACGTTGGCCGGTTAGAACATGAATCGACATATCGAAACTCACCGGAGCATTGGCATGGACGACACAGATATGGTTTAGGTGTCCGGAGAGATTCTCGCATCTTTGTTGAGACGCGTACTTATGTTGATCAATTATGGACAAGCATTCAATTATGTCTGCGCATATATGGGTTGTATGTTGCGAGATACTCAGGTGTGCTCGTATGCGTGTCTCTATCGGTGTGTCTAAGTATCTAGGTAGCTTAGTCGCCGTCTCGCAGTTGCATCGGGAAACCATCACTTGCACTGTGAAATATGGTAGACCAAATATAGAATATAAATGACGACTACGATTGGTGAAACTAGACTTCTGCTGTATACTTTCAACGGTGGCGGTATCTTCACGCGTTACCACGCGAGGGTTATATGCTTTCGGCCTCTGTCCAAAGCATTCTTTCTTTGCTTTTGGATATGGACAACTAATACCTCCGCCGGCGTTCATGACCTATCCGGAGAGCTCATAGTACACCATCGCAAACGGCCTGTGGCCAATCACAGTCCTGCCGCCACAGCCACCGCCACATCGGAGGAAATCAAGCCCCGACCCACCAGCCGTCTGAACGCGCAACACCCGTTTGCCTACTCACCACCCTGCTAGGCGACACTGTAGGCACGCGGCCTAGAAGCCTATCGTCGATGGTCCTTCTGGTGATTTCTGTATCCTTCTTTCGACTTCCCAAAATCATAGGTGATTGGTCTTTAGACTGGAATGGCGCGATTGGTAACCCGAAAGGCTGCCCATATGGGTGGCAAGTAAGTCAAAGGAGGGGTGCACATACGTACGTTCGCACGTGCGACTTGATGCCTGGAGCCGTTTACTTTGTATAAGACGCCCAGAAAGGTAGGCTATGATGTTCAATCCAAACACCGCACTTCTTTCTACTTTACGACACAAGTCATCATCATGCCATCAGTCACATACATGAACAACTCAGCTCCCTTTTGGGACTTCGTCGCCGGTCTTGAACAGCAAGGCTCGCAGCACCCATTCTTCGCACAGAACCGTAACGATGGTGACGAGGATGATCGCGAAAACGAGCGCGAGACGCCACATCAAGGTCCCCAGGATCCCTTTGCACCGTTCAGATGGGGTCACTTCTTTGGTGGCGAAAGGGGAATGCCTCACCGAGGAGGGCCTCCTCATGGTCGCCCCGAACATCGTCATGAGAGAGCCACCGGCGAGACAAACCAAGAACGCAACGAACAACCTGAAGCCGAAAAGGATGCTACGATGAACACCGAGTACGACAACGGTGAAGGACCATCGGGCAACTCTGGGTCTGACAACGACGCTCACAACGGTGGCCGACCACATGGTCGCTGGGGTGGAGGACGTCGAGGACGCTGTGCCCAGGGCGGCCCTGGAGGCTCTGGCCCACACCACCACTCTCATCCCTACGGAGGACCACCTCGCCATGGACCACACCACCGCGGCCATCGTGGAGGCTGGGGGCCATGGGCACGCGGAGGACCCTTCGGAGGCATGGGCGGCGGACCTTTTGGTGCCGGTGATAACGCCTGGAACTCCTTCGACCCCTCCGCCCTCGCTGCCCAGCTGTTCAACCAGTTCACTGACAGCCACCCTTCCAACACCGCTAACGCTACCAAGCCTAACGAGGCCGAAGACTACACGCCTGACGCTGATGTCTTTGACACCGAGTCTGCCTACGTCGTTCACGTATCGCTGCCCGGTGCCAAGAAGGAAGACGTTGGTGTGAACTGGGATGCTGAGAAGAGCGAGCTTAGCATCGCTGGTGTGATATACCGCCCTGGCGATGAAGAGTTCTTGAAGACATTGGCCTTGAACGAGCGTAAGGTCGGAGTTTTCGAGAGGAAGATTCGCCTCGGGACGAGGGCCAACCCTGCCAGTGTTGACGCCGACGGTATCACGGCGAAGCTGGAGGACGGTGTGCTCAGAGTCGAGGTCCCAAAGCTGGACTCCGGGTACGTTGAGATCCGCAAGGTGGATATTGAGTAGAGTGGACGCTATTATAATTGCAGAGAGGCAGACAGATGATGGGGCTGTGGTATGTCACGGGTAGCTCTCTTTCGGATGTTTGGATTAATTCTATTGCTATATAATGAACCGTTTCTATCATCACGTTCCATGCACATTTGCTCAGTTTCTTGCCCGGCAAGTTCTTTCTCTTTCCACGTGCTTGAGCCAGATCATGGCAAACCATGTAGCTCAGTGAAAAACTAATTGACTTTCCTCACTAGCTATTTCCGGCCTCACCAGCCCGGGGAGCGCAACGTCAGTGAAAGGGTCGGTTCAAAACCGGCGCTCACCTCCGATAAATGGGCCCACTACTCAGGCCCAAGTTTGCGTCACATCAAACACGTCTCGTTACCTTTGACTCTCAACTCTGACATATACCACACCAGATACTTCGATTATCGCACTCCTCCAAAGTCATGGCTTCCACTGTCGAGCCCACTACACCTATAGACCAACCCCGTCGGTTCCCGACAGTCGAAGATGAGACTCCTGCCGGTGAAGCCAGTCAGATATCAACGCCCATGTCTACTTCTGTGTCATCTGCGGCTACAGAAGAAACCGCCACCTCTTCGGCTGTAGCAGCTGCCGAGCCAACTCCCCATGACATTGCCGATGTCGCCCTCGCATCGCTGTCAGAGCACACGAAGCCTCGGCCCATGGACGCCGCCACCGAAAGCGCGGACGCAGAGAAGTCCCAACCCGGCTCTGCTAAGCGCAATACTCATCCGCCTTCTGATTTCTCCATTCAATCTGGACGAGGCTACATGTATTTCCCACGTGCATCGCCAGAGAAGTCTCACCTCGGCTCTGCTAAGCGCAACACTCATCTACCTGCACCAATTTGCATTCGATCTGGACACTTGCAATACTACACCTCTTTTCAACGTACAACTCCAGAACAGGTCTCTTCGGTCTTCCCCACCGAACTTCCGCCGCGTCCTCTACCAAAGCAGTCCTTCTTGAAGCGACTGCAAAGTTCGTCTGCGCGCCCTACTCAGACAGACAAAGGAATGTCCCACGATCACACCTACCGAACGCCTGACATCGAGATGGCTGTACCTGGTGAGGTCGCGCGTTCGCGTGCTGTGAACCGGTCTCGAAGCTTGAACTTCTGGCTCCTGATCTTGCTTGGAATGTCGTTGAGCTGTGTCATTGGGAGCGTGATTCACTGGGCTGTGACCCGTGAGGAGTAGACCGTTTGAGGTAGAACGTGGCTGAGAGGGATGTTGGAGTGAAGCACTGGGGTTGGAGGAGCGGAAGTTACGGAGATGAATGGGGATACTCACAGACGTATGGCAAGGAATGCCTAGAGTCTAGCATTGTGTGGACCTGGAGGTCTTGCGAGCGCTCAGGTTCTGGAAGCTACTGATGCCTTAAGTGCAGCTAGGGAGATTGCGCGCAAGTGTGCACCTTACAAAAGAGGAAAATTGAACACTCTGGGGCCTACATGATTGGGGGTTGGGCTACGTTGCACGTTCCTATTGTAACGTAGTCTGCGGACCTTTGAAGGTTTTCCCATGGCTGAGGTTTACATAGGCGGCAGGCGTTTCGCGACCAATATATGAAGCTTTCACTTGCGTGCTTCTCCTAAAATCCAGTGCTCAGTGTGAGAGTCTCGCTACTTCTAGAGCCACAGCCCTCTCGCTACGGCTTAAATCGCTTCGTCATCGACAGTTTTTCTTAGAGCACGCTTCAACTCACTCCACTAGACATGGCAAACAACATAAATCCCTTGTACTATTGCACTCCTTTCCCAGCGGACCTCCCTCCACGTCCCAAAGCGAAGCGCAACATCATCACTCGCGCAATCTCGTCAGTGTCCTCTCTATTCTCTTTCTGCTCAAAGAAGTCCAGGGAGCCAAAGATGGAAGAAGAGCTTGAACGCTGCGGCTTTTCTGCCCAAGAAATTGCAGAGTGCAAAGCAAGACAGGAACAATGGGATCATGGGTGGCGAGGGTGATGGCGTGCGTGACGATGTCAACACGTGGCTAACGATCGCGACGGCCGTACGTAGATGAGGTTTGCTAGTTATAAGATGAAAACTTCCGATACGCCGAAATTGGTGAAAAGCTTGAAGGTCTGACGGTCACCGTGATGTCCAGTGCTGACAGTGAGCTTATCGATACCGGCGCTACATGACTCGCGCGAGCTACGGATTCCACAACATCAGCTCGAAGTCCACGAACACGACTTTGCTCTAAGAGCCATTGCGTTCTCAACTTGTGACTATCCGCATGTATCCGACAACGAGATGATCGCCAGGCACCGGCCATAAGCCACGATAAATACACCGCAATCCGCGAACTTGGGTTCGGCCTGACAGGCGCGCCGAGCATTGGCATGCAGTCGCCTCTGGGCATCGTCACTCGAGTGGGACAAAACCCATGTGGACCTTCCTCTTTGCGCAAAGAGCGGAGCTAGTATGGACCACGGAACTACCATGGCTGGTCTCTTATCGCGAGAAGTCAGCACTATAAAGTAGAGCTGGTGAGTCGACCATGTCAATTGTACCTGCGTAGCCTCAGCCAACTAACGCGACCATGCAGCTCATCTCTCGCGTAGCCGCAGCCACGGCAGTCCTCGCCAGCAGCGTTTCTGCTGTAAACTTCACGGGCGATGTTGTGAACGGCGTTCCGGTCATCAGCGGTCTCGACCTCGCTGATGTGCCTCCGCAAACCGTTTCCAAGTATTACATGCGAGCTGGCGAGCTCAATGGCGGACACCCCGTGCATATTCCCATTATGGTTGCGCGCGGAACCCCGGAGAGTCTGCACACGGGCAAGAAGCTGTCGCTTTCGGCTTCGATTCACGGCGATGAGTTGAACCCGGTTCGTGTGGTTCAGCGCATGTTCGAGCAGCTCCAAGACCAAGTCGCGACTCTCAATGGCACAGGTATGTACCCATGAATCTTCATGGGGATCATTGCTAACGTGTACGCAGTCATTGGTATTCCGACGGTCAACCCCATGGGAATCTACCTCAACCAGCGAAACTACTTCACGTCTGGTGCCAGTGGTTCCCTCACAAACGTCAACCGAATCTTCCCCGGTGTCTCAGCCATGGAAGGAGGCAGTGGTCCTGATATCTTGGCGTACAACATCTGGAACCAGATCTGGGCCAACACGTCAAACGTTGACGTTGGTATTGACCTGCGTAAGCTCACTACGTCTAGCGGGTAGCAAAACCCAGCTAACATAGTTTAGACACACCCAGCTCCGGCGGAGAGACCTCGCTATGGTGCTACTCCGACTTCCGCCTCCCCTACGTCGAGCGCCTCGCCAAACTCCTCCAACCCGATACCCTCAAGATCGATCCTGGTGAGCCAGGATCCATCGAGACAACCTTTGTCGATTACGGCATCCCTTCGCTCACTGTAGAGATGGGTCAAGCCAAGGTCTGGAACAACAGCCTCATCGACCGCGTAGTCGACTACGTAAACCGCGTCATGGTCGACCTTAAGATGACGGGCACAAACGAGACCGTTGAGCCCGATCTCAGCAACACATACATGATCACCACTTTCCACGACACATGGTCACAGTACGGAGGCTTCGTCGAGAGGCTTGTACAGGTCGATGAGCCAGTCACCAAGGGCCAGCCCATTGCCCACATCCGCAACCCCTTTGGCGATATTATCGAGACGCTTCTTTCACCTGAGACTGGACGCATGTTCCAGAGCCCGCGTGATCCTAGCATCGAGCCTGGTGGCAGTGTAGGACAGATTGCGTACAACAGCACAGATCCTGAGTGTGCTGATGGGTGCATCCTGTCTGGTCCTCAAGGCAGTAGGAGATAATTTAATGTTTATGTAGCATCATAGTAATATACTTACTGCGCCATCTTGCTCGAGCATTTTCTCGTTTGCAACTTCAAACAGAACTCCTGGATTATTCACATAAGAAAGTGAACGTGCCATCCCCGGGAGGCATTGACCAACAGCAAATGTCGTACAAACGAAAGACTCATACTCTCCTCAAGTTTCTACTGACGCCTTCGCAACTACCCAGATACTTGTACATACTGATCATTCACATGTGAGCTCTCGATCGTCAGAATGTCCGCCATTCCTACTGCGACGCTTACTCGCGTCGGAGCGAATTCGTACTACATTTCATCACACCTGACGTCAATACCTTCGCGTTCCCGCGAATGTATCTTTGGCAGTGAGCTTGACTTCAACGACGGACTTGTTCCAATCACTTTGTTTGTCCTTGAGAACGCGAAGCAAGCTTCGGATCTCAATCTGCGATCGACCGTTAAGTCCTGGCTCAAAACAGACGATGTGTTCAATAAGCATTTCTTGCAGCACGTCTACTTCCTGACCAACGTCGACCTGACCGGTTACACCCTCAGCTTACCGGAAGAATGGAAAACTCAAAGCGCTCACACCGTAGCGGTGAACTCAGATAGGCACTTAGCCACCTTCCGCGGTGGACCGTATTTTGCCTCCAACGATGGCGTTCGTCAGGCATGGCGCCTGTTTGACGACACGAACGAAGCTTTCCAGTTTCCGGTAGTTCCTGATAAGCATAGAGAAAATACGTATGTACTCACTTACACCAAAAACATACGACTACTTCTACACCAGGCTCTGCTGATACCCTGTCTCTAGATACAACATCCCTGGAACAGCGGCGATTCCAGTCCCTAGCCGTTGCTACTACGACGAACCCTCCGAATCTAAGCCTCTATCTGGCATGCGGATAGCCATCAAAGACAACATCGACCTGAAGGGAGTGCGGACAAGCGCTGGCAATCGTGCCTACCAAGCTCTTTACGCGGAGAAAGAACACAGCGGCGCGTGTATTGAGAGGTTACTAGAGGCCGGAGCAGTTATTGTAGGCAAAACGAAAACAGTCCAATTCGCTTCTGGAGAAAACGCCCGAGATTGGTTTGACTACTCTGCACCGTTCAATCCTAGGGGCGATGGGTATCAAGAGCCTAGTGGAAGTAGTACTGGAAGTGCCACAGCAGCGTCGGCATACGCCTGGATAGATGCCACTCTTGGAACCGATAGTAAGCTCAGTTTTCGTCCGAAGCTTCTATCGGACTAATGTATCCGTAGCATTTGGAAGTGTATTAGGTCCGGCAGCCGATCACGGCCTCTTTGGACTTCGCCCGTCTCTAGGGAGCGTATCGACGGAGGGTACGGTACCAGTGTCAAAGTAAGCATAAAGCATCAGTTCCACCTGTGCATGCAACTGACACACGAAAAGAGAACTCGACACTGTCGGGTTCTTTACGCGCAGCATCCAGATGGCTACCACGATGTCTCGAACGTTGGGTACTCGCGAGATCACCAGAAAAACTCGCGCGGTCGGAATTGAGCTACTGTACCCCACTGATGTCTTTTCTGGATGCCACAACAAGTATCTATCCCATACAGGGCGTTTTGTGCGTTACTTGGAAGACTTCCTGCAGGTCAAGCGAAAGAAGCTCGATGTCGATGGCCTCTTCAGGCGGCAGAGCATCGCTGGTGGGACTTCACTGAAGAGTTATCTAGATACCGTAAGCATTTCGACTTTCATCTTCTCGAATGTTCGCTGACGCACCTTGCAGACTGTTGCTCATATCCAGCTGCATGACTGCTACCAGAATTGCCAAACATTCGTGCGAGACTACGAGAAGGAGTTCCACAAGAAGGCATTCGCCGATCCTTATATCGAGTACAAATGGTATGTCATTACGGCGGAGACGAGGTAAACTTTAGCTAATCGTGCGGTCAGGTCTCTTGGCAAGAACATCACAGTAGAACAATATGAGCAAGCCGTCAAGGAGCGTGACACCTTCAGGGATTGGATAGGTACTACAATACTACCGCAGCCATTAGATAGACAAAGTTTGGACAGGATACTCATCTTCCCGAGTGGAGATACGGAACCTATGTATCGACATGAATATCATAAGTAAGCGAGCTTGTGGTGAAACAAGGTAGACAGAGCTGACATTTCGCAGGAGATCACTCAAAGAAGGCGCGATCAAGAAGCAAGGTTTTGGTTACAAGCCAAGCCATATACCTGTTCTTGCGGGCTTACCATTCTTCACCATTCCCTGTAAGCCACGACCCACGGAACTACGTCGCAACGCTTCACTTACATATCTCAGATGGCCAGTATCCGTACAAATCGTCAGTTACGGGCAATGTAGAGCACCTTCCAGGTGCCATTGGCGTGGTTGGCCCGCAAGGTATGTTCATCGATGACCATGTTCGACAGAATCGCCTAGTAACGATATTCAGGGAGTGAAACTGTCATGCTTGAACTGCTTCAGGAGTTTTTCGAAAAGACTCCTGAGTTGTGTGGTACGGTGTTGACGGGATCGACTGCATTCCCCCATGGATTATGAAGCCTGTGTTTAGCGAATACAACAAGCCCTTGCTCACATCATAAGGGAAGTTAATGGTCATGTGGTATCCTTAGTCGGTTATTTCATTACTTCTATCTAACCTCGGGCTATTATAGCATCCAAGGCAACTTTTAGACTTCAGCAGAGACTGATCAGTACAGCCTTACTAACAGTGATACGCTCATACAACCATCCTTCGTGAAGAAATATACCTAAGCAGACGAAGGCTCCCTCTCCTCAGCAGGAGGGCCACCAACGTTACCCCTCTGACCCGTAGGTACATCATCAAGATTCCTCTGAGCAGCATGTGTGGGGTCATCCTTCAAATCCCTGATATCACCACCAGATGTCTGGTCCTTGACGCCGCTAGCCAGGCCAGCCAGGCCCTGGCCCTTGCTGGAACCATCGTGGAGTTCTTGCGATGTTTGGCCTTGGACTGGCTGGCCGAGACCAGTGTGGACGTCACCTGAAGTGGCGCCTTGGAGGGTGTCGGAGGCTTGGTGGTACATCTTTTGGTTGTTTAGGTCGGGGTTGGGCTGGAAGGTCTTGGATGCTGGCGCGGTGCCGGCGGGGAGGGTTTGTGCGTTGAACTCGGGGACGGCGTCGTTGCCGACGAGCTTTCCGGGTTGGTGCTGGGGTTTGTTAGTTGGGTTCGATAATGATGTGTTTTAGAGCTTGGTAGTGTTGACGGCGGCTCCAATGAGTTCAGGAGACGATCAAGCAAGGATCTGTGACGAAATCGAGAAAGGTCTGCGTGTACTTACACCACCTTTCATGAGGGGCTCACTGGGCGCAACGTGCCCAGCAAACTGGCGACCGTCGCTGACAGCATCGGGGTTCTGGTTCTGGCTCATGTTTGCAATGTGTATTTGATTTAGATCGCGAGCTTGAAATGTAATGTAGTGGATGACTAAATGTGAGGGTTTTTGAGTAGGAAGAAGAATGTCGTGTGCTATGTGAAGTAAACTTTCACCATGGGCTTTCTATAATCCCATATGATAGCGTCACCACCTTTGACATCAACTCGACGTCATGCCCACTTGCGCTAGTTCAGCCATCTGTGGTAATGGGCTCTGCTGAGAAGAGCGGGTACCTGACGTCGGCAATTTGATCCGGTGTCCTGCGATTCGATCAGACTTTGCTTGGTGATCGCCGATGATAAAAGGGTGAGGGGTTGTGTTGAGTGAAAGGAGCAGTGTCGGAACAGCATTCCGAACATTCCGACGTTGCGATCGACCGACACACATTTAGCACCGTGACGTTGATGAAATGGAAAACAAACTCTTGGCGGCAGTAGAACATCGCGAAAATAATCAGATTTTGTGGGCTTTGCGGCAAGAATACGTTAGCTGTTGATGAGAGAAGCTATGCAGTCAATGCCTGTCGCGACCACTAACATACTCTGCTTAGTAGGGTTAGCCGCAAGTACTCCAAAGTCAGTGAGATTGCTGTAGTGAGCTTATCCATTGTGTCACGATGTGACCGTACGATTTTATGTCTCACACAACTGAACTCAGACATCAAGTGATGATTTTGACCAGACTTCATAACTTTTGTGTATTGCTTGGCCGTTGGCTTCAAGAGCATGCAAGCTCTGACAAGCTGTGATGGTATCGACGGTAATTTTGTGTCGTGATTGCGTTTTGCATCCGCCTCGTGGGTATCGTAGGGTATCACTGCCCGTCTAACGTCCCTGATTCTCGCCGCTGCTCTGCCCAGAGCCCGTCGCCCCAGGCCTGGAACAAGAAGTAAACATCTCTTACTCATGTCTCACTCATTCCTCCTCCTGTATGAACGGGTTCGGGATTTCTTCGCTTCCGTCGACGGGCGAGATGACGACCAGAAGAGTGCCGCGCGCGACAATTAGGCCAAGCTTGCGATACCGGATGTTGCCGTCCTCGTCTAGACACTGTCAGATAGGCCAATGTGAGGGTAGTGCGCTAATAAATACCAGTCAAGGCCTCTTTGACCTCATCCAGGACAAGGTTCATGAGCTGGTCGTAGCCTTTGAGCGTGCCAATGACTGTAAGAGGTTAGCCCCCAGCGCGCCTTCCCAATTGTGCTGCCTTGCATACCTTCACGTCCGCCACTGAACTTGACGGTGATCTGCTTGTCCATGTACTTGCTCAGGTCAAGAATGTTCTCTTTCTTCGGGCGCTCAGTCTGTCCGCCTGCACCGCCCGCTTGTGCACCGCCACGACCGCCACCTCGTCCGCCGCGGTCGCCGCCCCGACCTCCGCCTCGGCCCCGGAATGCGCCTCGCTCAGACATGGTAGTAGCGTGGAGAGGGAGAGACGCGTTTTGGATGTTGAAGCTTATGGTGACGTGCAGCAGCCGCGCCCAGTAAGAGGTGGTGGTCTGTGCCGCTCCGGGAAAGGCTCCTCCCACCCCACATTCCGGTCACGTGCAGTGGCTTGAGTGTCAGGCGACGCAGGGGTGGAAACATGATTTCCGCCATGCTTCCAGACCTCCGCCGTGCTGTGGCGCTTGCATCGTAGCAGCTAGATTCACCCAGGACGCGTGGGCCTGCGGCATTTTTCGTCATCCCTCCAGACGACGACGACGCCAGCCCGGGGTCTTCGGTGTCGGCCTCTTCTTCAGACGGCACCTCACACACTTCTGCCACAGGCTTGAGGACGTCTGCAAATAGCCTGCCCGCCTACTCGGTGTATTGCAGGATAGTGCAACGCCCCAGTGGCTGTCTTGGTCGGGTCGGCAGAATCTGAATCATCAGCGATGCGCATTCATTGCAGGTCGGCGCCGGGGCCGCTGCTAGCTGCAGACGCGTATTGATTGGGTGGGAGGCGTACGCTGCAAAGCTCTTTCTTATTTCCGGTGCGCTGCGTGCCTTCCCTTGTCCGCCCCTCTGCCTTCCGTTCGGAGCACTTCAGCCACCGAGCAGCCGTTTGGCTTTCCACCCGCGCGCTCGCATCTCTCGCTGCGATTCTCTCGAGCGTTATGTATCGTGTCCTGTAATTCGGGCCTTCGCGACTAGACGCGAGCGCCTGCAGTGTGCTGAGTTGTGAGCTGTTCCTCGCCTAGCGTCCTCCGCTCCACCCTCGAATCTCTGCCATCCGTCCACTCCGCCCTCGCAGCAATCATCAACCTGGTATCCCTCCCACCCAAGCCAAGGTATGGCCACCGCCGACTCGCACGCTGCGGCTGAGCGCACCATGTCGTCGCATCCACCGCAACACCATGCGCCGCCTCTGCCCGCCGACCTCAAGCGCAAACGCAGTCCTTCGCATGAGATGCACCTGGCTGCGGCCGCGCCTGTCCCCAAAGCCGCTAAGACCCACAACCACCTCCAGATCAACTACCTCGCACGACACCTCGAGAAGGACCTGCCGCTGATAACGAATGATGACACCCTACCCAACATCTTGTCAGTCCTCAGCGACTACCAGGGCGTGCTCGATCGCCATGAGAGCATGGCCTGCAACCTTGGCGCAAGACCATTAGGACCCATCCTGATCAAGCGATTCGAGCGGCTGTTCGACGGACCACCGCGCGTGCTCAAGAGTCACGGCAAGGATGGGACCACTGTGACTTGGCTGGACGTGGTCGAGTTTGCGCGCAACAAGCCGGAGCAGTTCCAGCTGGATCAGATGAGCGAAGGCGTGCGCGTCTGCCAGTTCTACACGAAGCAGTGTCGGGTCCAGATCTCAGAGGAGGATTTTGTTCTGATATCATCTGGCATCCCCCAGAAGATGATCCCACCCCAACCCATCATCGAAGACGAGGAGAAGGAGCTGGGCACAATGGAGATACTGGAGAAGAATTTGAGTCAGATATGTTCACTTGCCGATCAGGGTGAGTCTGACCGACCATCATTAACCAGCATCGACACTCGCTAACATCGCATAGTCGCTGCCCGCACTCGGCAGCTCAACCACAGACTGAAGGGCCGCAAGCAGGCTATCCTCGATCGACGAGCGACCGCGAGCCCAGCGCCTACCATACCTCGGCCCACGAGCCCCTCGAATGTCGCCCTTATGAATGGCGGCAGCTCGAGCGCCCCGAGCTCAGGGTATAGCCAGGCGCATGGCCAAGCGCACACGCAGGCTCTCCAGACATCACCTGGCGGCGGTGGTTTCGTCGCAGTAAACGCGCGTCAACATCATGAAGCCAATGGCCACGGTCACAGCCACAGTCATAGCCGCGGCCATGGCACTTCATCATCTACCCGGCATGAATTGCTAGCCAAGTTCCACACCACAAATGGCCGGAGTTCGTCTTCGCAGCCGCCGAATAGCACAGCTGATGTGCGAAGGCCGTCCGTAGGCAGCCATACCAACTCTCATCCCTCCACCCCGGCAGCGATTCCCACAAGGGCTGTTCCCAAGCCCGCAGATGGC